GAAGGGGGGGGGTGTCAAAAAATTAAAAAAAAAAAAAAAAAAAAAGCCTGCTCATGTGCCAGGCTGGTTAGTAGTTTGTGTAATTTTTCTAACCAGCTGAAAGTCCTGACTCTTCACAACCACCTTTTTTTAAAACTTTGTTTATCCCCCTCCCCCATTCCTTCCCCAGGGAAGAAGGAATCAAGAATTGGAAAGCAGCCGGCCTTTCCTGAAGAAGGCTTTCTCTCCCCTCCAGGGGGGCTTTTGGGGAGAGGAGGGCTAAGCTCTCTCTAGGGCCCTGAGCCCCCAGGGGTGGGGAGGCCATGGTGGTTGTGGGGTCCTGCGGAGTTGATGATTTGCAGTCCTCCCCCCTTTTGTGCAGACAGCAGTGAGTGGAGAGGGGCTAGGGGGTCATGTGCGGTGTATTTATGTAAGACACCCAGACAGAGGGCATGGGTATTTATATAACCTGGCGTGGGTATTTATGTAATATAGGATGCGGTGTTTTTATGTTCCTTTCCTAACCTGCGGCTTTCCTGGCTGCCATGTGTGGTCTCTTGAGTTGGTGTTGGTGGAAACTCAGCTGGGGGTTGGGGGGGGTTATGTATACACATCTGCCCCCCCCCCATAGGGATCACTGGTGTGAGCCTCTGTTCCCATCTTTCCTTGGTGGGTACACTTGAAAAACTAAATCATGTGTGGATATGTGGTAGAGGGCAGTGGGTTTTCTGTGGATGAGCAGAATTGCTGTGGGCAGCCAGGGCACCTCAGCTGAGCCAGGCCAGCCATGTGGCAAAGGCCCCCGATGGAGAGCTCAGAGTTTGGCTGGCACCCAGTGGCTTGGCCACTTCCTTGTGGCTATTGGAAGGTTTACGGTGGCTCTCTGGGGGCTGGTGCTGGGTTGGGGCTCCTGGCTTAGAGTTCCTTTCTCTTTGGTTCTGCCCAGGCAGGGAGCTCCAACCTACCTAAAAGAGGAGTGAATCTCTTCCAACTCCCTTCCAGGCCTGGTAGTTGGGGATGGCCTTGGCACAGGGAAGGAGCAGGTCCCCTTAGTGAGCCAGCCAGGGAAGCTTCTTTCTCACCTTCCAGTTTTGTCTCCCAAGCCTGGCATGAAATAAGGCCTAGGTGGAAGGATGAGAGGCTACCAGGTGGGCCAGCCTGTCAGGTCCTTGGTGAGACTCTGTCATTGACTCAGGCTGGGTGGTATAGGAATGGTTGCAAGGCTACTCCAGGATTTGTTCTCCTGCACAAAGACCCCTCCTCCCCAATTCTGTTCACCCACACTAGCACATATGGAAATAAGGGGTCTCAAAGACCCCTTTTCATAGATTGCCGTTCCCTGCCCTGTCCCCAGCAGCCCAAACTGTCCCTGGTCTTTAAGCCTCCTACTTTGCTGACCCAAAGCACAAGTACCCTGACCTCCACCAGACCACCAGAGGGGTCCCTTCCAGGTTCTGTTATCTGTGGGCTTGAAGCACCCAGTGGGAATCTCAGGAAGGAGGAAAGCTGCTCAAATCAAGACTCCCCTTGCACTACAGGGACTGGTTACTTAACCCATGACTGTACCAGAGACCTCACAGGAGACTCTCCCTTCTGGTCTTGAAGGAAGTTTGCTCAAGTCCACCTAAACACATGCATACAGAGAGGCCTGCCAAGTAGATTCCAGCAGACATTGGAAGGTGCCCTTCCTGGCCTTCCTGTGGGCCCACTCAGAACTGACCACTCAGAACTGGTAGGGGCAGTGCTTGGGAAGACCTGCTAGGTGGTAGGAGATTCTGGCCTCAGAGGCCTAATGGAGTTGAGGCTCTTTGGAGTGCCCTCCTTTAGTTTATTTTTCCGTCTCTGGTTATTGGACTGTGCTCTTGTGGACCCTTGGCCTTTCTACTTATGTCACATTTCTGAAGCTTAGGGCACACCTCCAGAGTGCACACAGACAAGGGACCTTGGAGAAGGCTTTTAGCCTTTAACCTGTTGGGGTTGGTGGAGAGTAACTGCTGAGCCAAGCCTTCGCTGTTACCTCCTCGGTCCTTGATGTTCCTTTCAGGGCCTTGGCCTATTGTGACCACTCTCTCCTTGGGAAACTCACATTGGAGGGACCCTGAATGTTGACTTCACTGTTCTCCTGGGCCTTGGCTCAGATTCCACCTTTTCCATACTAACAGTGAAACCTTTTCTAAACCCACCTCAGTTGTTGCCGCGTATGTACACATGAGGGCTGTGTGACACCTGATGACCCTTAAGCAAAGTGAGGTCAGTCGGAGGATGCTAGCGTTTACTGCAGGAAGGTTCTGTGTCCACATGAGGGCCGGGCCTGACTCTGACATCTGTTTCTGCTTTTCCCTCAGCAAGGGTGAATCATGGAGCTGCGTGTGGGGAATAAGTATCGTCTGGGCCGCAAGATCGGCAGTGGGTCCTTTGGAGACATCTACTTGGGTAAGTATTTGCACCTCCAGCTGGGGCCTCTGGGACAGCTCTGGGGACAAGGACAAGGGAAGAGCCCAGGATTTCAGGATCTGGGGTAGAACTTTGCTCCAGTCATGTGGCATGGCTTATAAGTTCCCAGGGTCATCCCAGATTCGGGAAGAAGCTTCAGGTGGCCAGGCGGCTCCTCTCACAGCTGGGCCGGCGTGGCTCAGTGGGCTGCGCTGGGTAGAGAAGGTATTTTTAGCAGATTTGCAGCTGCAGCTGACCTGGGTCTCCAGCTGAGCGTGGGAAAGCCCTGACTCTGGTTGGCATCCCCACTGCCTAGGTCCTTGCAGAAAAATTCTGGTAGATGGAGAAGTCCAAGGCTACCCTGGACCCCTAGGGAGGCCCCCGGGGAGTCAAGGCCCTTCCCTGTGCTGTGGCCTCTTGGAATGCAGCCTGTGCCAGCTTTGGAATGACACGTGCGAGGGGTCGTCCCCCTCAGGGAGCTCCCTGTCTCCCGGATGTACTTCCTGTTAGAAATCTGAGTTGGCTCTGATGTCATTTTAAGCAAACCACTAACATCTTGGCCCCTGGCCTGGGAGAAATGGGGCTCCTGCCCTGGGTGCTTCTTTCCTAGCCTGTAGTGGGCCATTTTGAGTCTCAGCCCATTGTTGGCTGTGAGTGGAATTTGGTTGGTAACTGTGCATGTGAAGTTGGGAATCTTGGGGTTGCTAGAGCAAGATGGTAAGCCTCCCAAGTTTATCCTTGTCCCTGTGCCCTCAGGAGCTACCTCTCTTTCCCTTCTTGGAAAGTGAAAACCGCTTCTATCCTGGGCGAGGAAAATGTACAAATCCATGTACTATATTAGTTTATGAGACCAGTCAAGGGTTTCTCTTCCCTAGTGTTCAGAGTCCCCATTTCCTTTAAGTATAAATTCTACCACTCAGTGAGCCTCAGGGGGTGAGTAAGGGACGCACAGGCCTTCCCAGATCTTACCTGCAGGGCCCTTTCTGAACACAGCGGCCCTCAAGGCAGCGGCAGGATAACTGATGTCACTGAGGTTCAGCATGGTCAAGGTGACTGCCCAAGATTGCTCCAGGAAGCTAGCTGGGGTGGCCTTGACACCACAGGTCCACTGAGTGAAAGGGCAGGAGACAGACATACCTAGATTCTAGACCTCTCTCTGTGTGGCTGCCCTGGGCCTTTGGTGTCCCCATCTGTGACCCCAGCTGACCAAGTGCTGTTGCAAGGCAGAAATGAAACAGCTGTGGAAGGCAGTTCTGTGCCAAGCATTAGGTAGATCACTGTGCCCTGTAAACAGCTTGGAGTTTCTCTAAGGGTCATGGTGGTATGTGTCTGTAGCCCCAGCTGCTCTGGAGGCTGAGGCAGGAAGACTGCTCAGACACAGCCCAGGAGTTAATGGCCAAGCCTGGATAACATATTGAGACCTGTGCTCCAAGAGTAAGTAACATGAGCTCAGAGTCTGCTAGCTCTTTCAGGAGGTGGTATGAGCTTGTCTCTCCCCTGTTCCTCCATGCTAGTATGCAGCTTGTCCACAGCAGGTGTCCAGTGAAGGCTCGTGAGGTGAAGAGCAAGGGAATGGGGACTGGGCCAGGTTCAGGTTCCCAGTCTTTTCCTTGTTTGCTATGTGACCTGGGTTAAGCGCCTTTCTCTGTCCTTGGTTTTCTTGTTGTCTGTGGGTATCTCCTGTTGGTGAACCTGGGGTGAGTATGAGGAACTTCCTCAATGAGTCTCTTGGGCCCAGGGGGCAGCTCTTGGCACAGACAGGCACCTACTTCTAGATAATCCAGTTTCTTGGCCCCTCTACTGTAGAAGGGACATGGAAGCTTGTGGAAGGGGAGGGGCAGCTTAAGGTCACTTAAGTCAGTGTCCTTGGTCTAATGTGGTACACCTCCCTGGAGGCAGGACTTCCAGTTTATCTGTGAAGTCATCTGGCTTATACTAACAACTAGGTCCACCTTTACTCCTGTTTGTGTCAGCTCTGGAATCAGTTGACCTGGGCCCTTTCCTTTTACCAGACGCCCTGGATCCCTGCCAGCCTTGATTTCCCCGTCTGTGAGGTGAAGTTGTGAGAAGTAACATGACCTTGGTGTGTGGAAGGCCTGCCCGTGCTGGGGTCTGCTCGCCTGTTCTGGGGCCGCCTGCCTGTGCTAGGGCCAGCAGTATGGATTTAAACCTTAGGTCATGTCCACCTTCTCAGTTAGAAGCTGCTGCTTTCCAAGGATCTCCATCCTCTGGGGAAGGAAATTCTCCCTCTGTCCAACCTTGCTGGGTACACCAGTATTGGGGGGGTTTTGGTGAGCACCTCATGCCGATGCCATCCTAGTCCCCCTCCCCCGTCTGTGTGGGAACAGTGGTGGTTTGTCCAGCCTCTAGCTGGCCTTGCTGGCACCCTTTGTTCAGAGTGCTGGCCACATTTTCATCATGGTGCCCAGCCAGGGCCTGACTCCAGATGGCCTCTACAGGTGGGGCCAGGCTGAGCTTCCAAGTCTGCCTTTCCAGGATCGACTGTCTGAGAGTCCTAGGATAAGAGCTGTGGGTGTGGTATTCTTTAATTTCTGTCTAAAACCCCCTACTTGGGGAGAGTGAGGTTTATTTTGCTAGGGTCTCAGATTGCTAGGCTGCCCAAGGTCTGGAGAACCTAGGCTTGGGCCCACTAACTGATCTTAGGGGAATGTTCTAGACCTCTTAAAGGCTCTGATGACTTCTGGGCCTTAGCTCTGCACGGGGCAGGGAGCCATGCCCCCTGACAGGCAAACACTGCCCCCCACCCCTTTTGAGATAGGGCCTTAGTATGTAGCCCAGCTGACCTCAGACTCACAGAGGTCCACCTGCTTCTGCCTCCTGCATACTGGTATTAAAGGCATGCACCACCATGCCCAACACTCTGGGTCTTTTAACATGTGGGAACCAGAGTTGCTGCTGTTTGCTATTGGTGCTGGGATAGGTGAGCTCCATCTCTACCCCTAGTCTCTGATTGCATCTGTGTAGGTGGTTCTTTAGGGGGCTGATTACTCCCTCCCCACCTGTAGCTGTTTCTCAAGGTTCTAGCCTCACTGGGGCCAACCAGGCTCATAGCCTTCTCAGCATTCAAGTTTGTTTGGTGACTGCTTAGTTCCCTCATTTTGCTGCAGTGTCAAATTGATGAGGCAGGAGGCGGCCTGTTTCTCCTAGCTCCAAGTCTTCACTCGTGCAGCCCCTCAAGTAGGCACCCATACTGGCCATCTGCCTCTGCATTTCCTATACCCTTTGTTACTCCCACCAAAGGTGAGCATAGCTCCAGTGTGTCTGGCAAGCTCATTGCTGTCTGCAGCTTTGATGAATGAGATGCTGAGGAACTGGAGTGGAGGAAAAAGCAGAGGCTTTGGGAGAAATTTCAAATCCTGGCTCAACTCCAGCCAGTTCTGCCTGGCCTCTCTGAACCTCAGCTCAGTGGTTGGCAGGATTAAGGGAGGTCAGAAAAAAGACTGGCTGCCTCCTGATGGGAATCAGGCCACCAAAGGCCTGTCAGTTGAGGAGGCAGCCATGGCCACCATCTGGGGGTCAGAAAGCATTGCCTAACAGCTTGGGCCCCTGGCCTAGGAAGTTGTGTGGCTCATGTCATTCAACCTTTGGTACCTCAGATTTGCCCTGGGTCAAAGAGAGATGCAACAGTAGCCTTAGCAAGGTGTGTCAGAGTTCAAGGAGATGAAGGACCCCATCTGTTCTGCTTCCTGGTCCTGGTCCACTGAGTCACCATTGCTGCTGGTCCTGCCTTGAGTTATCTTTGCCCTGGCTATCCTGCCACAGCCTCCTCCTGGATCCGCTTTTCCCCTTGGACTCCCCTTTCCCCCTTCAAATCCCCTCCAGTCCTTTCTAATACACTAGTGAATCTTAATGAGGAGTGATTTATGTCTCCCAGGGGCATTTGGAAAGTTCTGGAGACATTCCTGGTTATTTGAACGGAGGGTGGACAACAGTGGCTACTTGTACCTGGTAGGTAGAAGTCAAGGAAACTCCCAAACACCCTACAGTGCACAGGACAGCTCACAAGAAGGAATTGTCTAAACCCAGTATCAGGACTGTCAAGATTGAGAACTGTCACCACATACCTGCACCTGGCTGGGACCCTCAGCTGGAAGGCCTGGATCTTAGCCTTCACCCTTGGTTCACTTCTGCCACTGTCCTCTCCAGCTGTCCCTGGTTCCATTGCACCAAAGCTTTCAGCATTAGCTGCACCCCCTCCTACTGGACCTTTGCACATGCTGTGACCTCTATGTGTCTGACACAGTTCTGGCAGCCTTTCCTCTAGGGAGATGCTCCTTCACCCCAGAATACTGTGTTCCCCTTCTTCCTTTGCTCCCACATGGACAGCTGTCACCTTACCACCACCACCACTTCACCCTGTCCCTGGCTCATCCCTGGCCAGGGAGGGTGCCTCCTCGTCAGCCTTCACTGTGCAGGGCTTGCTGTGTACTTGGGGGGCTCTGCTAAACTTGTCTATACCATAAACAGCCTGGCAAACCAGGTTCTGCTAGTGGTTTGCAGATAGCCCCCTGGGCTTGGGAGTGGGTAGGGGACTTGTCTGAGGTCCTGTGGTCAGGAGGTGGCAGAATGAGGATCTGAGATCGAGCAGCTTGGCTCTGGAACCGACTTCTTGAGACAGGCTCTTGCTACGCAGTCCAAACTGGCTTCAAACTTCCCATCCTCCTGCTGTAGCCTCCCAGGTACTGGGATTACAAATGTGCATCACACTTGGTTAGAAGTGAGCATTCACTCATACTCACTGCATTTCCTGCCTCTGATGCCATGGTGAGATGGGCACACCAGGGGATTCCAGGGTACCCCAGTTATCTTACTGTGCCACATGTTTACAGACCTCAGGAATCTGTTGGCTCTATGGAACAATGACTGTTGATGTGTTGAAAGCATGTAACAGAGAGCTAGGGGAGAAATGAGCTTGTCCCATAAGCACGAGACCCAGCAAGGCTGGCCACTGTTCATCCACATTAAAAAGAAAAAGCCTGGTTTGGTGGTATGTGCCTGTAATCTTAGCACTGGGAGGGCAGAGGCAGAGACAGGAGGATCCCTGGGGTTTGCTGGCCAGCCAGTCTGACTGAATGGACAAGCTCCAGGTTCAGTGAGAGTCCACAGTACAGTTTAGGGGCAGAAGAAATGGCTCAGCGGTAAAAGTCCTTCCTACACAAGTGTGGCAGCCTTGCATTTCTTAGAACCCATGTTAAGGTAGAAGGAAGGTATGACTCTACAGACCGCTACATGCTCCCCCACATGTATATACATAATAACTTTTAAAAAGTTCTTTTTTGAGACAGGGTCTCCCTGTAGCCCCAGCTGCCCTGGAACTCTCTGTGTAGACCAGGCAGGCCTGGATCTCACAGAGACCTGCCTGTCTCTCCTCCCAAATGTTGGAATTAAAGGCGTGTGTCACCACACCTAGCCCCCCAAAAAAGTTTTCTGGAGTACAATTTGCAAACCCAGCCTCTAGTTGCTCCCTGAATTTAACCTCTTAATCTATTTTTCTTTTTCTTGGCTCTAAAATCAAAATACATATGCAAAACCAGCTGTTAAAACATGTTAAGGTGCTGGAGAGATGGCTCAGCAGTTAAGAGCACGGATTGCTCTTGCAGAGGACCCAGGTTCGATTCCCAGCACCCACATGGCAGCTATGAACTGTCCTTAACTCCAGTTCCAGGGGAATTGGAAGCCCTCTTCTGACCTCCGAGACACTGCACTACACAGATGCACTCACATACATGCAGGCAGTATACTCATACACATTAAAAAAAAAAAAAAACATGTTAAGTGAAAGCGCTAAGAAGACCATGTGATATAAGCTTGTTTCAGTGAAGTGTCCAGAAAGGCACATCTATAGATGGAAAGTAGTCACCAGGGGCTGGGGGCTATGGGAAGTTGGGTCATGAGTCCTAACGGGCATGTGAGGGGGTGATGGAAACATTCTCAAGTTGATTGTACCATGGTCATATCACCTTGTAAACATACTGAAAAACAGAGTTGAGCAGTGCCAGTGAACTTTCTTACACTTTATTACATCTCAGCAAAAGTGCAGAGGTGGCAGCATATAACTATCCAGTGCGCACTTCCCCTCCCCCCATCTCTCATGTTTCTTTTTTCAGTGTTTCTTTATGTAGACACAACTGGGCACAGACACTTAGACACTGTTACTGAAAGGAGTGTTCCATCCTTGGCTTTCTCACTTCCTGTATCTTAGAGAGCTTCCTCCTCTGCAAAGAAAGTGCTTCCTCATTCCTGTGATTGTGTTCTGTGTCATGGATGGGCTATTCTTTATTTAACCAGTCCCTGAAAGACGGACATTTGGGTGTTTTCCAAGCTTTTGCTTATTGCAAATGCTCCACAGTGGGCAGCCTTAGCTGGGCCTCTTTTTGCACCATGCAAGGATGTCGGCTAATGGGGCTGGAGAGTTGGCACAGCAGCTCTTACAGAGGATCCGAGTTTGGTTCTTGGTTCCCAGAACTGATGTTGTATGACCTACAACCACCTACGTATGGCTCCAGCTCTAGGGGTATCTGACACCTCTGGCATCCCTGGTCACTTTTACTCCATGTGCACCTATCCATAATACATACTTTAAAAATTTTAAAATACACACATACATATTTTTTCCTTTTTGAGATAGGATCTTACTATGTAGCTCTGGCTGGTCAGGTGTTGGCTATGTAGATCAGGCTGGCATTGAATTCATAGATCTCTGCCTGCCTCTGGCCCCCCGCCCAATTGATAGGATTAAAGGTGTGAACTACCATGCCCAGTTTAAAAAATAAAAATCCAGGCTAGAGAGATGGCTCAGCAGTTAAGAGCACTGACTGCTCTTGCAGAGGACCTGAGTTCAATTCCTAGCACTCACATGGTGGCCACAAATCATCCTTAACTCTAGTTCCAGGGGTATCTGACGCCCTCTTCTGACCTCCACGGCAATTGCAGGATACCAGTGCACTCACATACATGCAGACAATACACTCATACACATAAAAACATAAACAAAATATTAAAAAATAAAAATCCTAAAAAAATTATTTAAAAAGAATGTTGGCTAACTCCTCAGAAGTGGAGGTGCCTGACCCAGCTGGCTGGAGGAAAGTCATCCTCCCATCATGTGAAGAGGAAAGCTCAGTTGGCCTTTAGCCCTGCCTTCTTGTGGTCTTTGTGATAATCCTGCTGAATTGTCTTCCATGCCCCTTTCATTTGCATTCTCTGGAGGCTGAGCATCCTGGGAGGATGCTATTCCCATTAGAAATAGTTTTGGGAAGAATCTGTTCACATCCTCTGTCCTGTTTCCCCTTGAGTCTTTTTCCTGACCATTAGCTGTTTGCCTGTGATAAGAAATGAATGTGTTTTTTTCAGCCTTATTTCTGGTGTTTTTGCTACCCTGAAGGGGTTCTGTTTTTGAAGAGAAGGGAAACTTTATTTTTGGCTTATCTTTATTTATGTATGTATGTGCATGTGTGCGTGGAGGTCAAAGGACAACTTTTTGGAAGTGAGTTTTTTCCTTCTACCATGTTGTTTCTGGGAATCAAATTCAGGTTGTCAGGGTTGGTGACAAGCCTCTTTACCTGCTGAGCCATCCAGCCAGCTCCAAAACCAGGCATTTTTAAGTGTACAATTCAAAGCCAAGTACGGTGGTACATGCCCATAATTCCAGCACTTGGGAGGCTGAGATGGGTGGATCGCAAGTTCTGGGCCAGCCTGGATTACATAGCAAGACCTTAACTCACAAGACCAAAATCAAGAAAATCAAAGGTGCTTACCATAGTGCTGTTCAGCCACCACCTTTGCTAGTTCTTAGACATGTACCATTCTTCCTGAGAATAGTTCCTGCCTCTGGCAACTGTCCATGGATTTGCCTTTTTTCTCTCCCTTCCCTCGCCCCAGTGTCTCACCTCTCTTCTCCCCATTTCCTGGTAACTATTCCTCTCTCCATTTCTACAAGGCTCTGCTTCTGGGTGGGCCTTACCTCCCTCCCTCCTTTTCAAACAGGTTTTTTGCTGTGTATCCCAAGCTGACTTTGAACTCGGGCAAATCCTCCTGTCTCAGCTCTCTCCCCTCCAACCTTATGGGAGTGCAGGTGTGAGCTACCATACTTAGCTTTTCTGGACTTGAGCCATGGACTGGGCCCTAGCTGAGAGCTGGTCCTTGGGCTGTGCATTGTTTCTTAGGCAAAGTATCTAATGGGAAGCTAGGAGGGGGTGGGGAGAGGCAGTGGTGTGACAGGACCCTCAGGCCTGGACTCAGAAGCTTGGTCCACTCTCCATTTCATCACTTACTAGCCATTGGACCCTAGCTGAGCCACAGTTTCTTCTTTGTGAAATGGGGATGAGAATCAAATGGGTGATGAGAAGATGCTGGGTTCAAATGTGGGGCCTTCGAAGATGTTAACATTGGCCTAGGTGGAATGGGGGCTGATTATTGGGTACATTCCTTGAACTGCCTTCCACTTAGGGTTGTCATGGAGTATTTTACCCTCTGCATCCCAACCTCATTGGGCTCCTGGCCCCTCTTTGTCTCTGTGACTCTCCACACCCAGTGTGCCCCATTGACCTCCCTGTCTCTAGGATTAAGTTTCCTCCCTTGGTGATCTGCAAGCCTTTTGTCCCCTTCCAGGCATCACGCCCTCCTGACCCGTGGTATCTAAGCAGCCCAGGGTGTATCACTCCTATCCCACATGCTGCTCAGGAAGCTTTGCCCCCCTGTGTCCAGCAGTGCCATGCTTCTTTTCAACCCCTCCCAGTGCCAGTGAGGCCCAGGTTACTCCAGGCCTGGGTCCCAGCACCGTCAGTGCTAGATGGGTGGGGATCCCCTGGCCATCCCAGAGTGACTCTGGTCCTTTGCTTCCCCTGTCACTGGCAGGTGCCAACATTGCCTCTGGTGAGGAAGTAGCCATCAAGCTTGAATGTGTGAAAACGAAGCACCCCCAGCTCCACATCGAGAGCAAGTTCTACAAGATGATGCAGGGGGGAGGTGAGGCCGGGTGGGGGATGTAGAATGGAGGGAGCCGAGATTAGGGTAGGGAGTAGGAGAATACAGAATGGGGACAGTTGAAGCTGGGTTGCTGAGTGAGGAGGTGCAGAATGGGAGGGGGCTGGGGTAGGGCAGTGAGGGGGAGAAGTAAGGCTAGAGGGAGGACTGAGAGCAGGGTTGGGGGAAGATGCAGAAAGTGGGAGGTAAGGCCTGAGTAGGGCATTGAGTGGTGGGGTTACAGAATGAGGGGGCCAGGGGCAGTACTCAGAGTCAGGTGGAGGATGCAAAAAGAGGGGAGAGATATTTGTGGTGGGGCAGGGAATGAGGGAAAGATGCATAAGGTGGGGGTGGGGGAGGCTGAGGTTCCTGGTGGAGAGCAAGGTGAAGACAGTGCAAAGGACATGGGTGGGGAGTAAGGACCCCTCACTGAGCCCCTCTTCCCTGGCCTCAGTGGGAATCCCATCCATCAAGTGGTGTGGGGCCGAGGGCGACTACAATGTGATGGTCATGGAGCTTCTAGGGCCCAGCCTCGAGGACCTCTTCAACTTCTGTTCCCGCAAGTTTAGCCTCAAGACGGTGCTGCTACTGGCCGACCAGATGGTGAGTGTCTACCTCCCCACTCTCCTGCTGTGTGAACCACTTCCCTTCCAGCCCATTTCCCCATTGTGCCAGTGGGCACTAGATACCAGCTCTGCATCCCACCTTCAGATGTTGGACCTAGGGCAGGCCAGGGGACATTGGCCACCCACTGGAGAACCCTGGGCTGTTTCTTTAACATATACATTCCAGGCTCAGCTCCAGGCCAAGTCTGCCTCCTGGGGTAGGCCTGAGACTGTGGCCCTGTGTGATTGTAAAGTCCCATCGCAGTGCCTGACCCGAGGTGAATGGCTTAAGTCTGCTGAGCCTTAACCGTCTGGTTTGCACCTCCCCTTTACCAGGTTACCATGGGGATTAAGTGGGGTGCTATGCAATGCCCGGGCCAGAGCAGGTGTCAGGTCCTGCAGCCCTTGAAACACAGAAGAAAGCTCTGTTCAGAAGATAAAACCAGGCCACTCTCCCTTGAGGAGCCTACACCCACACTTGGATGTGTTTTATCCTTTCCCTGAAGACATCTTTGTTAAACCCCTGCTTGAATCTGTGTTAAAACGTGTGTGTGTGTGTGTGTGTGTGTGTGTGTGTATGTATGTATACACCTGTGTATATGCACATGTACATGTGGGAACCCTTGCGTGTTATGGGGCAAAGTTTTTTTTTAATTTTATTGGGCTGGAGAGATGACTTAGTGGTTAAGAGCACTGACTGCTCTTGCAGAGGACCCAGGTTTGATTTCCAGCACCCACATGGCCGCTATGAACCATCCTTAACTCCAGTTCCAGGGGAATCCGAACCCCTCTTCTGGCCTCCTTGGCCTTCGATGACATGGGCGCACTCACATACAGACAGGCAATGCACTCATACTCATTAAAAAAATAATAATAATAAAATATTTAAAAATTTTTTATTATTATTATGTGTATGAGTGTATCGCCTACATTTGTGCAAGTTCATCTGTGTCATGCAATGCCTGCAGAGGACAGAAGGGGGCCTTGGAGTCTCCTAAACTGGAGTTACAGACAGTTATTAGCCACCATGTGGGTACTAGGAATCGAACCCAGGTCCTCTGTAAGAACAACCAGTGCTCTTAACTGCTGAGCCATCTCTCTAGTCCCCTTCTTATTTTTTTGAGATACAATCTCTCATTGAACTTGGAGCTCACTAATTCAACTAGACTAGCTGGCCAGCATCATAATACCAGGGATCTGCATATCTCTGTCTCTCCCTGCCTTCCTAACTGTCAATGCTGTGGTTATAGACATGCAGTTAAGCACTTTATCAACTGAGCCATCTCTTTATCCTGCTAAAACCTTTTTTTTTTTTTGAGAGAGAGAGAGGGTCTTCCTGTAGTCCCAGCTGACCTGGAACTTACTATGTAGACCAGGCTGGCCTCCATCTCACAGAGATCTGCCTACCTCTGCCTCCTGAATGCTGGGACTAAAGGTGTACACCCCGCCCAACTCTAAAACCTCTTCTTAATAAAACTCCAACTCTGCTTCTTTTAAAAATGCAAAACATGGGGCTGGAGAGATAGCTCAGTGGTTAAGAGCACTGGCTATTCTTACAGAGGACCCGGGTTTGATTCTCAGCACCCACATGTTGGCTATCAATTGTCTGTAACTCCAGTTCCAAGGAAATCCAACACCCTCTTCTTACATCCAAGGGCACTGCACAACACAGTTGCACTATACTATACTATACTACATATACTACATGCAGGCTGTATACTCATACACAGAAAATAAAATTTTTTTGGTTTTTGCTCTTTTTGAGACAGGGCCTCCCTGTAGCCCCAGCTGACTTGGAAGTTGCTATGTAGACCAGGCTGGTCTTGAACTCATAAAGATCTGCCTGCCTCAGCCTCCTCAGTGCTGGGATTAAAGGTGTGCACTACCACGCCTGGTGAAATCTTAGAATTTTATACCTCTCTCTCTGTCTCTCTGTCTTTCTCTCCTCCTTCCTCTCTATCTCTCTGAGATAGAGTCTTACTCTATGCTAGCTTGGAACTTGTGGTAATTCTGCCTTAGCCTCTCAAGTGCTGGGATTACAGGCATGGGCTGGCACTCACTGATAAAAACCTCTTGAAGAGAGGACTTTGTATCTGCCTGACCTGCGGCCTTTGGATTCCTATCTCATGCTTCATCTCTCTCATTCCTGCTAAGTTTAGGCTTCCTTCACCTTCCCTTCTCTCTCCCTACCCCCATCTGGTTGACTCTGTGTCCCTGGCTCCCCAAGTCCTGTGAGGGTTGAGCCAGGCAGTGTTCTGTAGGGCCTGGCTGCCTTTCCCACTGCCTCTTACCTTTGGGCTTTCTCTTTCCCTGTCTCTCAGCATGTTTTGTGAACTTTATAATTCATCCACATGTGCTTGCCTGGCCACCCCTTGAAACCGCCTTTCATACTGAGGTCTTGCTCCCTGGCTAGGGCACAGCCCATGCTTAAATTTGCCACCTCTTCAGCCCCAGCCCTTCCACAGAGCCCTTGGTGAAGGCCTCTCCTGAACACTTGCTGAGTGACTTGCTGTTCCCTCATCTTTCCCAGATCAGCCGCATTGAGTACATCCACTCCAAGAACTTCATCCACCGGGACGTGAAGCCTGACAATTTCCTCATGGGCTTGGGGAAGAAAGGCAACCTGGTCTACATCATCGACTTTGGCCTGGCCAAGAAGTACCGAGACGCCCGCACCCACCAGCACATTCCCTACCGGGAAAACAAGAACCTGACTGGCACTGCCCGCTATGCCTCCATCAACACCCACCTGGGCATTGGTGAGTGAGCCAAGCCTGAGCAAGTACACTGTGGGTGCTGGCTGGCACGGGCCCACATCCCCTACCCGGGTTAGAGACCACTGGGATTTTTCTGAGAAGGTCCCCACCCATCTGGCCCTAACCTGGACTTGTTCCTAAGCAGAGGTTCATATTATGTCTCCCTTAGCAGTTCCACTGAGTGGGTGGCAGTGTTTCCCAGTTTGTGCAGCTGGGAAATGGTACTTAAGGGAATGTAGCTTAATGAATGCTAGGGCTGGATTTAACCCCAGCCCTGTCTCATGTCATAGTGTGAGCCTTTAGCATGAGGCAAACCAGGCAAGGGGGTGGTGGGTGCCCACACAAGTTGTTGAGTGAAATAGTACCTAGACTGGAAAAACTGGGCTGAAAAAGTGCGAAAGCTGTGCCTCAGGCAGTCTGGAAGAAGAAGGGAATGGCTGCAGTTGCAGGAGAGTGGCAGGGAGCCAGTGGGCCCTGAGGAGGAGTAGTGAGGGCTGGGTGCACGTGGTTAGGACCACAGCCTGACTCGCCCTCGACCCTCTGCAGAGCAAAGCCGTCGAGACGACCTGGAGAGCCTGGGCTACGTGCTCATGTACTTCAACCTGGGTTCCCTGCCCTGGCAGGGCCTCAAAGCAGCCACCAAGCGTCAGAAGTACGAGCGGATCAGTGAGAAGAAGATGTCGACACCCATCGAGGTCCTCTGCAAAGGCTATCCCTGTGAGTAGTCAGTAGGGAGGGCTTTTCTTTCAGAGGGCAAGACCAGGCCACCTCACCTCTAGACGGGGCCAACCATGACCTTGGCACCTACCAGAGATTTAGGATGCCTGGGCTCCCTTGGCCTCGCTATTACATACCAAGTGTTCCCAACCCCTTCTTATGCCTCATCTCAGGGGTCCAGCCTCAGCCTGAATTGTTTAAGGAAGTGAAAGCTGCCTTCTTGAGGCTTAGACCACGATGGGACTGTGCACCCCCATCAGACTCTTGAATAGCCTTTGAGTTTATGACAGCTGTTGACCTGGTGGCCAAAACCCCAGAGTTGGACAGATGGAGAGCTGTGCACTAGGCTCCCCCACGGTACCTGTGCTCACAGGCAGGCTAGGCTCTGTTTATTTTTCATCCCACCCGTATAGATTGACACTAACGTAGAGACAGTGAGTACCTAGGACAGTGGTAGCTGTTGGAGGCTCCTGGGAGCATGAACCTCACAGTGCCCTTTTCTGTCCTTGAACTCCCACCAGCTGAGTTCTCAACATACCTCAATTTCTGCCGCTCCCTGCGGTTCGATGACAAGCCCGACTACTCCTACCTGCGCCAGCTCTTCCGCAACCTCTTCCACCGGCAGGGTTTCTCCTACGACTACGTCTTTGACTGGAACATGCTCAAATTCGTGAGTCACCAGCAGGCCAAGGCGGGCTTGGGGGACTGGACAGGGCAGGCCCTGACTCATAAGGTCAGGGTGACTTGGTGGGGGGCGGGCCTCCCTCCAGACGGGAGATATGAGCTAGACGGTGTGAGTGACCTCACAGGAATACCAGAACCCCGCATCTCCAGCTGCCTTGGGATAGACAGAGTGTGCTACCATAGGGGGCAGGGCCTAGGGAGGGGGCTACCTTCTGTCAGACTGGGGAGGACTTGGCATGGCCTCGAGTCCTTCCTGGGTGCCCATGGTGGGGTATGGATGGCACTGGCTGCCCCCCCTGCTGCTGTGATGGCTGTTTGCACCTTCCTGCTTCTCTTGTTGTGTGCGTCCCAGGCAGCTGCCCTCACTGAGGCCTCTCTGGCCAGCCTGGACCCTTTTGGAGTGGCTTCTTTGTTCCTGGTCATGGGCCCCTGGGTTTTGCTAGGCACGTGTTCTGTCTCTCTCTTTTAAGGGTCCCAGGGGTGGGGTGGGGAGAAGTGTTCATCAATCGTGCCTAGAACTCCAGGATCCGTGAAATCATGTATCTTGTTTCACATCTCTTCTGGAAAAAGGGGGCTTCCTCGAGCCAGGCTCAGCCCCGAGACAAGGAAGCTATTGCATCACCCTGCCCCCGCCCCTGGCCCTGCGCCAGGCCCACGTACTCACCCACGTACTGGTAAGGACCTTCTGAGGCCTGGCCCTTCCAAGATTTGCAACTTAGCCAGCAAGCATGAAGACTTAGCCTCAGCTGTGCTCTCTCTGTCCTTTCCAGGTGCCCGGCGCCCCTGGGCACCCAAAGACTCCCAGATAGGCCTGTGGAGGAGGTGGAGCAACCGCCCCCCCAAAACTATTGGCCTATGATGTGGACTCCAGGGCCCCAGTTCTGACACCACCAGGTGTGCCTGGGCCCATCGGGGTCAAACCTGAGGAAGCATCCCTTGGGATGGCGGGTATGGCACCCTGTTCCTGAGAGAGGGTGTTCAGTGGAGAGGGTGTGGTGAAAAAAAGGCCCTACATGGGATTCTCAGGAATGAACCAGCTGCCAGAAGGCCAGAATAAGCCTGAAGAAGGGATCGTGGTGCTGCCTGGGAGGGGCATGATGACACTAACACAAGTCCTGGCTCCATCTAGATCTCATTTGCCATCTCTGTATTGAATCTGAACTCATTAAACACCTCCCACACTTCATACCTGTGTGCCTCTTTTTAGAGTGGCCAAGAATGAATCTAATGCCAAGATTACACATTGATCTTGGGCTCTTCTCTCCCAGTTTGGGTCTGTTCTGTAAGGAAAGGGGACAAAGGTCAAGCAGAAAATGGGAGCCTCTTGGAGACCTTGAGGACAAACCTGTGGCTTTCCTCTCTGAGGAAGGGGGCAGGAGGTGGGCAGTGGGGCACCTTCCAGCTCAGAGCATGGTCAAGGACATAAACATGGGTCTAGCTCTTCCTCACCATAGGGTTTTCAAGGCCTTGGGCACCAGATGCTTCCTACAGAAAGCCACCTCTGAGTTCAGTTATAGGATGAGCTTGACCCTTCTACTCAGTAAAGCTCCAAGAATGGATTTTGCAGTCTAAACCTTAACTGTACTGACCATGTGCTGCTAAGTTTTCATTAGCTAAAACTAAGGGGAATGGAAACTGTAGTTCCTCAGTCACATCCGCCACATTTCAAGTTGTCACGAGCCACAAGTGGCTGGCTAGTGGCTGCCACATCCAGCATGGCAAATGGGAACATTTGATATCCCAGAAAGTTCTGTGGACAGCTGTCCCTCATGGGACTGGCCAGCCGTCAAGATCTCAAGCTAAGCCAGGTGCACCCTCCCTGCCCCGTTGCTGGTTCTCTAATACCCTCCCTGGTGTCCTCTTGGAAATAGACTCTGGAGTCCAAAGCTGGACAGCCTTTGCCTCCACTGTGTGTGACCCTGTCACCGTGTGACCATCTCCAGCAACGGGAGCCCCCACAGGATGTGCAGTAGAGATTTCCATCACCCCAAAGCCAGGCCCTCCCACCTGCCCTGCAAGAAGCAAGTCGTCACTAGGACTTCCCAGCAGATAGGACCATGTGGGACTCCGTGAGCAATGAACTGGAAGGATTCTACCCTTGACCTTGGAATGACCTCCCCATGTTCCACATCAGGGCACTGGAATGATCTCCACATGCCTGAAACCTGGGATACTTCTCCAAGCACACACAGCCACCATCCATTCTGGCCAGGAGGAAGTGTCACATAGTCCAGGACAGACATTCATGACAGAACTGGATGCTTGTTGACTGTGACATTGACCTTTGTGCTTTCTTATGGGCAAATAAAGGCTGTGGAATCTCCCTGGTGTGCATTTCTTGATGCGTCAGTCAGTTTCAATGGAAACACAGCACCTCCTTTCGAGTGTGGGACCAGCTGTGGCCTGAGCCTGCTGGAGCTGTGAGAGCCAGATCTAGCCATCTACCTGGCTACTGGTGGTGGGGCTCTGCACCTTAGCCCTTAGCCTCACTGAGCCTCCGTTTCTCTAACAAAGGACTGAAATGATTTCTACCCTGTGGGGTCAGTGTGCCTCTGCCCACAAGAAGAACCCTGGGTGCTGTGGCCCTTGTTGTACTGTGTTCTGACTGAGTCTGCCAGACAGCGAGTGAGTGGGTAGAGGCCTGGCCGCCCTAGGCCCTGGTTTCTGAGTGGAGGACTGGGGATGTCCAAGGCAGGTCTCTGAACAGCAACCTTTTGAGGGGCAGAATGGAGCTCAGTGGCAGGGCTGGCCCCAACTCTGCTTTAGCTGTGTGACCCCAGGCAGGTCACAAGGCTCTAGAACCAGGCCAAGTAAGGATAAAGGCGGCAGCACCCCTGCTTCACTTCTGACTTCAGAGCCCACCTCAGAGGGGACCTCAGGAAGGGATCAGAGTGCTAGTGATCGGGTAGGGGGTGCACTTGCTCAGCTTGGCTTCCCTAGATTTAGGGATCATTCTGAACTCTGCCATTCCCCTGGGGGTGCCTGAAGACAGTCCTCTCTCCATTTCCAAGAGCAACAGGGCCTGTTAGCCATTGCCCAGAAAGACATGGGTTTGTGGATCCCACATCCCATGGCCCATGAACAGACCCCCAACTCAGCCTGTAGCTCTCTCCTCCACAGATGCGGCCCCCCTCTCGCCAGCCCCCTGCCCTTCCCTGTGGACGGCCCCAGGACCAGCTAGGTAACTCAGCCAGGCGCTGTACCCACACCATGCTCTTCTCTGGGTCTTTCTCCCTTCCTCCTGTACTTGGGTGGCAGCAGCTAGAGGGCAGGTCCCTGGGACTCAAGCTTTACCTGAGGGCTGCTTTCCACCATGGGCCCTCTAGCCTGGCTGCTTCTTTGACTCCCCTGGGCTTCCAGGCAGCAGTGTTACCAGAGTCCCCTGGGTTTCCTGGCTGTCATCCCATAGCAGGAGCCATGGCCAAGTCTGGGAGCCAGGAAAAGGCAGCCCTCTGGGCACTGGGGGACCTGGGGACAGTCCTGGTTCTGCCTTCCTTGGAGTTCTGACTGGATTTGCCCTTTCTTCTTTGACTATGAACTGTCTCTCAGCTAGGTGGGCCTCTGAATGCATTCCCTGCTTGGTTGGGAACCTGGAGAGACTGAGAGCGCTTGGTACACAGGGGGGCCAGGTTGGGAGGACCAAAAGGTGTCCTTGGTCATCCTAGGGGCATCAACCAGGGTAGGCTGAGCTCTCTGTGCTTCTCTGCCCTGTTACCTCCTTTCTCTGGGTAGTTGGGTGACTTCACCTCTATGAGCTATGATCGAGAGTGACCTCCAACTTTCTCAGAGCATGGATCCCACTCTGTGGGAAGGAGGCCGAACCAGTTTTCTGAGCTGCCCACCCGCCTCTCCCCTGCTCTCTTCTACTAGGGGTCTGGGTTGTGGAGCACTGGCTTCAAGGGGCCGACTGGTGTTTCTTCTCAAATTCCTTTAGGGTGCGGCACGGAATCCCGAGGATATGGACCGCGAGCGACGAGAACACGAGCGAGAGGAGAGGATGGGGCAGTTGCGGGGTTCCGCGACGCGAGCCCTGCCCCCTGGCCCACCCACCGGGGCCACTGCCAACCGGCTCCGCAGTGCAGCCGAACCTGTGGCTTCCACCCCAGCCTCCCGAATTCAACAAGCTGGTCAGTGGGGGTCTTGAACCTTGGGCTGGAGCCAAGGGGTCTCGCTTGTGCCCACACTGAGGGTGGCTCCCTGCCCTCCCTCCAGGCAATACTTCTCCCAGAGCGATCTCACGGGCAGACCGGGAGAGGAAGGTGAGCATGAGGCTCCACAGAGGCGCGCCTGCCAATGTCTCATCCTCAGACCTCACTGGACGGCAAGAGGTCTCCCGGATTTCAGCCTCGCAGGTGAACTCTTGCCCTGGCCCCTCTCCCGGCCCCTCTGGGCCATGGCGGACCTCCTGGAGATTCCCCGTGTTGGTCCGACCTCTTGGCTCTGTCCTTTCCTCCCCTGTCTGAGTACCCTGTATCTGGAACTTGGCCTGGCTTAATCGTCTTGGGACTAATTAGCCCTGTTTCATTGAGCAAAGTGAGAAACAGCCTCAATGAAATAACTGCCCCCAACAAGTGATAGCACTAGTACCCCAGCTTGCTCTCAAGACCCAATCGGGGTGGACAGCAAGGGACTCAGAAACAAGCTGCTCACACCCCTTGCCATTAGAAAACCAGCCATCAGCACTGGTGACAGCAGGGGATGGAGGAGGGAGAGAGGTCCTAGCTGGTGACCACACTTAACGTGGCACATTTGGACTCAGAACATTGGGAGGAGGGCCTGGCAGAGGTAGAACCTACCTCCCTCCTGCTCGAGGGGCCAACCCTGGGGTTGAACTGTCTTTGGCCTTGGACTTGGGTGTAGCCTGGAATTGTTGTTCTGGCTCCTGGCAGTGCTCCATCTGCAAAACAGTCTCAGATCCCTGAGATCTCATAGCCCTGCCCTTGGATTGAGTAGCCTGGTGTGATGGGTGGAGCTCACAGTGGGGAGAGACTTTTCAGAATCACTGTTATCAGTCATTCAGAGACTTGCTTGAAGCTTACTTGTCTCTCTGCTCCCCCTCTTGAAGACAAGCGTGCCATTTGACCATCTTGGGAAGTGAGGAGAGCCACCGTGGACCAGTGTTTGCTTAGGTGAGTGTTGGTGACTGCTGAGGGCCCCAGGAGGAGGGCAGCATGTGGTACTTGGGGTAGAGGAAGTGGCAAATGTCACCATGTACCCCAAAACAAATCTCCTCAAGGAAGCTTTAGATCTCAGAGTCTTTCATCTTCCTGGAACAGTCCTGGCTCTGGGACTAACAACTTCTGGGAAACTGTATCTCTGCTCTTGGGCTTGTCCATGATCCTCTACTCAGAACTTTCTGGAAAGCTGGTTCCTAGCAGAGACCAGGCCACAGCCTGCTTCTACCTCTGGGCTGTTGAATGAATACACTAAATTGTGCAAAACCCCTAGAACAGGGCCAGAATGTAGAAAAGGCCCTTGGTTGACTCTGCACCCAAGAAGAGACCTCTGGCCAAGGTGAGTCTGGATGGGACAACCCTTGGCTGCTTGAGGCCCAGAAGCCACTATGTAGTATGGATCCATTGACCTGATTTGGGGAAAGGGCTAAGGGTGCTCCTGGTACATGTTGATGGGGGCCTCTGGCAGTAGCTCACCTAGCAGAGGACTCAGCTCTATACCCTAAGCAGGATTCACTTTGCAGAAATTCACTCACAGCTAGTCTGTTCTTGGCAAGGCAGGAAGACAAGTGACTAGGAGTGGCCAGCTCACTAGGACAGAAGAGCAAGTTGGTTTCCCTCTCAGGGCAGTAGACCATCAATTGTGTGCTGGGCTTGCTCAAGCCAGACTCTGGGCCCCAAGAGGGAGAGATGGCCTTGGGGACAAGAAGACAGGAGCTAAAGGGGGTCTGGCAGATGGCTACCTAATCTCTTCTCTTTATTGCTCTTGTAGTGTCTTCACTGTATTTTCCTTAAAAACAAAACAAAGACAGAAAAAAAAGAACCACTCAAATGAACAAAAAGGAAAGAAAAAAACCCAGCACAAAATCAACAATGGATTTTGTTTCTTTGATTTATTTTGCCAACGGCAAAAAGATGAGATGTCCTTAGCACCGAGGATTCTTGTCCTCTCACTTGCCCACTGCTCCCAACCTGAAGGCTGCCAACGATATGGGTCACACTCTTGGCCACTTGTCCCCACCACCACCCACCACATGCAGGGCTGAAGCCCTCCTAATGGGACATGCGGCCATTGGAGGCGCCTGAGGCACTCAGTCGGGGACTGGTTTGGCCAGAAGATGAGTCCTGCGGGGTTGTTTGAGCCTTGGATCCAAGAAGACATGTGCAGCTGAAGCCCCTCTGCACAGCCAGCGGCCAGCTTTGTGTCGGGCTTTCCCAGTTGCCCCCTGAGCATTCGAGTCCCCCTGTCACCTCTCTATAGACCTTGAGGGGACGGTGAAGTGGTGGGCTGAAATGCCTTGTGTGCCTGTGTGTGCGTGTGTGCGTGCGTGTGTGCGTGTGTGAGTGTGTGTTAGACCTGTATTTTCCACAGCAGTAGGTGGCCCGCTCTCTCCTGCCTGGCCAAGTTTCTGTTCTCATGCCCCTAAAGACAAGGTGGCATGGACAATGATCTCCACATCCCTCAGGGTCCTTGTCACCACCTGTCCCTAGATGCCAACGTGTGGCAGCGCCATTCTCCAGTCCCGATCTTAGGGCAAGTCTGGGGAGTGTGCCCCCAGGTGACATTGGCTCTGGGTTAACAACTACTATCCTAGTCCTGACAGTCACCACGGTCCTCCCCCTTCCCAGGTCCTGACTTCTGAGGAGGAGCCTGGGGTCAGGGCTAAGTGTTGGATTTATCCATCCTTCCTGGTTAACACTTGGTTTTGGTTTTATTTTACTTTTGTTTGTTTCCTTGGTGTGTGTATTTCCTAATTTATTTACCTCTGTTTCCCTTTTCCCTTTTTTTTTTAATTAAAGAGCAAAACTTTTTATTACTTTGTAATTTAAAAAACTGAAAAAAAATTACTGAAGAACTTTGGGGGGAATTTTGTACTTTTTTCCTGTGTAAATATTGGACTTTTTTGAGCTTTATCGTGGTTGTTAATTTGAAGTAATAAAGTAGAAAAGGACAAAGTGATGCGGGCTGCCCTTTGTCCACCTCTTTGTCCTTGGGGTTTCTCACCAGCTAACCTGTCACAGACAACATGTTACAGAGAATAAGCTGTCACCCTCAGGCAGGTGCAGCCAGGGCCGTTTTCTGCTGTCACTTGGTACATCTGGGGATGCTTTGAGAACTCAAGGGTGCACTAGTGGCACCTGGGAGCT